AAATTACATGATAAATTCAAACAAACCATAATAAATGTGGTAAGATAATAAAATAATGTGAGAATTTTCTTATATCCCAACTATATATATTTGCGCATTTAGTACATGATGTTCACATTAAATCAATTTAGTTACTCAACTTTTCGTTTATCAATAAATTTTGTCCACATCGTTAGATTTCATTAAAAAAAATAACGGTTTTAGAAAAAAATTCGTTAAATTCGTGGAAAACTATATAAAAAAAAATCGTTAATACTATGTCATTTTGTTCTATTAATAAAAAAAAAAGTTCGTTAATACTATGTCAATTTATATATACATATAGGAATCTACTTATAGGCTTTTAATTCTGAACTTTACATTGTAGCTTCTCGAGTTACAAATAAAAAAACACAAGATACTGATATATAATGAGAAATAAAATATACAAATATAAACATTGTATATAGTAGTCTATTTTAATTGCATATAAAAATTATTTATCCTATTTATGTTTCCTTATTTCATTTATTTTTAATAGTTCCGTGCATTTGCACGGGCACGATACTAGTGCCATTTAAATCAGTACACATTTTTATCTTCTATTCAATCAAAACTTCAAATCTACTTTTCTTTTTCATCTCTATTTGAGATGAGATGAGATTTTTTTGAAAAGATTTATATACAACCACAACTTATAGAGATTTTTTTTTATAGCTTTATTTTAGAATTCAGATTATTAGTTCAAAAATAACTTAGGCCTCCACTCATATAAATTTCTAGATCCAGTCCTAAACACAAAAATATAATAGGAGACTCTCGGATTCAGGCTGAAAAGCTTGAAACGAGGGGGAGACCGACCGACAGAGGTGAGGAGCATGGAGAAAATGGGGGCGATGGGGCCATCGCTGCTGGAGACGAGAGGGCGGCGGCCTTTTTGTTGTGTTTTTTCTTCTGTCAGCCAAGAGGTTCTTTAGAGTGAGAGAGGGTGAAGACTTGTTTTCCTCTGTACATTTTTTTTAACGATAAAAATTATATAAAGCTAAAAAACACATAATTACAACTAGAATAGCAAAACAGTCAAACAGTTGAATCCAAAAAGTCTACACGAACGTAACCTAGAAGCAACTACACTAACGCACCTACAACACAACAAACTATATAACTCTCAACAAGAGAATAACGCATCTGAGATCGCCAAGTGTTCGGGAGTTCCTCTATTTAATCCTTTTCCTTCTTCTTGTTGTTGGATATCTCGTTCCTACACATCTTCTCTTTGTTTCCTGGGCCTTTAGTGAGTTACAGACAGAGTTCAACACAATAACTAAACACAAACCAAACCACAAAAGCTACACAACACGCACAAACTAAACGAAAAGGAAAAAAAAAAGTAGAAAGGCCCTCTGCAACTCTCAAGAAACAATCGAGAACTAGGGCTGAGCATGGGACTCGGAGAATTCCGAACCGTTCTGAAAACCGAACCGAAAAATAACCGTTGACCGTTTGACCTTTTCTGAACCGAACCGAACCGAAAAAATAACTGGTACGGTTCTGGAGATTTCACAAATATTCGTACCGAGAATCGAACCGAACCATCCCATATCGTACCGAACCGAAGAACTAAAATTAAGAACCGAATTATAACATTAGATGTGTTATTAATATATTTTATGTCACCTTTGATCCTAATATAGTAATAATAACTATTAACCTTCACTTAACTTTCATGCTTAGTAATACTTGATCTACACTTGAATTTTTTCTATTATAAAATAATTATTTAAAATAATATGAAAGGTTAAAGAATATTTTTTAGAAAAAATATTATATTTTGTTTGAATTTAAATTTTAAATATTAGTTGCACAAATAGAGTCTTAACTAAAATTTAGAGTTACTTCTAAAGTTTTCAAAATAAAAGTTTTTAATATGAGGAAGTTGATGAATGTTGGTTTTATTAAAGAAGATAAAAATTAAATAACTAAAATTTAGATTTACTTCTAAAATTGATTTCAAAATAAAATCTTCAATATGATGAATTATTGATGAATGTTGTTTTTTTAAAAAAATATAAAAATTAAAATATAACTAGGTAGTCATTCAAAAAAAATCTAAAAAAAATAAGAAATCTCCGAAAATCCGAACCAAACCATATCGAACCGTACCGTTCCAATAGTCCCGAATACTGAACCTAACCGAACCGAAAAATAAAAATCTTCAAACCGAACCGAACCGACTTTTTGGTACGGTTCCGGAGATCAAATTTTGAAATCTCCGAACTTTGGTACGGTTCCAGAGATTTATCAATCTCCGAACTGTACCGACCCACGCTCACCCCTATCAGAACTACCAAATGGCATGGATCTCAAAGAAAGAATAACGGCCCAACCTAGATCAAAAAACTGTACCCAAAGGCCTAAATAAACCCAGAACAGAGCAAGCTTGAACTTCTTTAACTGGAACCACACGAACTACACCTAGAGCCCAACACCGAGTTGTTTCTGTTTATTGTGTTTTTGTGCTTATTTTTGTATGTTTTATATGCTTTAGTTGAGTATTTTTTAGGTTTGTTTTATTGTCAACCAGTCGATTTTATCGTGTTTTTGTGTATTTTTGTGTTCGTCATGTGATTTTGTGTTTCAGAGTATTCTCTCGTTTATTTTGGTGTTAAATAGGTTCATTATTGCGAAGCATGGGAAAACAAGCTGTCCGAGCCGACCAAGGTGTCCGAACCAACAGAGCTGACCGAGCC